AAAGCCGGATATAAGGGGGATATAGCTTGGATAAAATTATCCCAGGAGGGAGTTGGGATAAAAGGTGGATAGGATTTCTCATGTTTATGGTACTATTTTTCTCGAAACAAAATTTTTAAATAATAAAAATAAATTAATATTTAAATATAAAAAAATTAGTTATAATATTGAAAAGATAATTTAGAATAACAAAAAAACAATTTTCGTTTTTATATATTTGTATATTATTTATATAATTGAATTTCTTTCTACTTTATAGTATATATTTAATATCTATATTATTACATATTTTAGGTATAATAGTATAGTTTATAAGTTCATAAAATTTTTATAAAGGACCGATGGAAGGGAATAAAAAAATAAAAAAAATTTGTGTAAGTAAAAATGAGGTAGAATAACCCAGATTTTAATAAACAAATTCAAATTTGAAAAGAATCTTTCTAATTCTCGAAACTCCTCTATAATTTTGTGGTTCATGTCAAAGTTTCACAAAAGTAACGAAGGAGTCCAAATACTTGATCATAGTTTTATTCTCTTACTAGATTTGGCAGTGAATTATAAGAGATTTTTACAATATTCGTTTGTGCATTTTCAAATTCATTTATATTGATATGTTGCAAAATAACAAACAATGGGCGTGATGAAATATGAAAATATCTGACTTTATTACTGCAATTCACCAAACAGTGGATATGATATGGCAAAATCAATTGATTTCATATCATATCTTATCCAATCCTATCTTGACTAGAAATTCAGACGACCAAACGCAGCATTTATGTATTGTACGTGCTAAGGTGGTTGGGCGATGGATGATAAGATGATGACGTGGCATGCTTGGGAATTCGGTTTGATTTTCCTTTGTCTTTTTTCGAAAATTAGTTGGACTTGTTGGGTACTAGAGATCCGATCTTTTTTAGGGTTAACATCACCAAAAATTTCAAACTAATACACCGGTGATAAATTTACCCAAAACTAATTTTTTGACCACCAAAAACTCCAAACTGATATATTTGTGACAAATTTACCCTCCATTAAATTTAATTAATAAAAAAAATACAAAACTAATTTTGCTACGTCTTTAACACAAAATTTAACGGAAACTAAAGGGTAAATTTATTAGTGTACTTTTGTTATTTGATAAATATTATATTTTTTTGCGGAAACACTATAATTCGTTTAATTCGGGTTTAATAATGGTTGCTTGCGTGTCATTTAATACCTACGTGAGTTTAGATAAAGTATCTGTCTTAAATGTAATTGAATATTTATACTAATGCGATGTATTAGCGATGTTTACGCAATAATAAGGTTCCGATTATTATGCTAATATTAACTCTCAAGAAATAAGTATATCAGAGGTACTACTAATTCACTTTGGGTAAAGCTTTGTTGGTGGGCCAAAAACGATATTATGAAAAGTTTCGGGCTGGACTTAGAAATTGCAGTCCGTACGATAACGAAGCTTGCCTCTCTTCTTTTAGGTTTCCTCTCAGGCCCAACGGAAGCGTGGAATGTTTGAATTGCGTCTTCTTTTTTTATTTATTATTTTTGCTGACGATGATGCACCAATTTAGAATATAATTAAGCAAATTAAGGATAGTAATTAAATCAACGAGCTAGCAAATCCGTGCCCCTTGTCGTGTTAATCCCGTCGCGTGAAAATATGGTTGAACGCGGATATGCTCGCGCTTGAATAAAATGTGCTTTATAATTTCGTTGAATCGGCTTGATACAGAAATTGCATACCTACTAAAGAGGTTCGTACGGCATGATGGACGTGATTATCAAACCTATCGCCGTCTCGTGGGTTGCCATCACGCGGCACATCAACTTGTTTACAAATGCATGCTGATTACACACTATAACTCGTCTTAGCACTTTTAACACGTTTCCATACAACACGAGTGATTCCGACGCATCTGATCGCGTCGCATCCGAACAAATGACGTGTCAACCTAGACGTGTTCTTGTGCGTCTAAACAAGTTAAAGCAGGTCAACCAATACCGTCGAGGATTACCGGATCGAGTTCTATTTACACTATTTCCATGACATGATCGTGCTCGTTCGCTCGCTCTCTCTCTCTCTCTCGGGCAAAAAATGCAGAAGAAACGCGCGCGCGCGCGGCCGAACCAAGGCATCCGACCACTTTTTTTTTGTTTTTTTTTCTGGTCGAAATCCGGCCACGTTAGCTGCGCCGAGGAAATCTGAAACGTGGAGGATGTTCCAACGACCCGAAGAAACGTGGGAATCGTGCTTTGACTCCAAGGGTGGGGGCCCACGATTCTGCGAGATAAGTCTGTCAAATTTTTTTTACTTCTTTTTCCCATTTTATTATTATTTTTTTCCTGGATAAGGCGGATAAGATATTATAATCTTATTACCGCTTTTGTTCGACACGATTTAACGGATATCCTCTGAAAAACAAAAAGAGAAGAAGAGGAAGATTCCGAGCGCGCGCCCGAAAAATAAAAAAAATATATATAGTTTCGCAATTTCTGCCGTGGCAGTTCCACGTCAGCAGAGCCTTTCGGAGGGAGGGGGGCAATTGGGATTGGGATGGCGTGTTCTCGAGCGCGCCCTCGCCGTCCACGTGGCCACGCCTCGTTTCCTCCATGCTCCCCCTCCCCTTTTGGAGATGTTGTTGCTTTGCGAATTCTAGCCTCTTGGCTAGCTGTCCAATTCGAGAGATGCGACCAATTAAGCATGCGCCGTCGTATCAAACTTAATTGGATCGCGATCTAGTACGATACCCACACGGGGGCCGGATCAACGTCTCGTCCTCTGGCACGTGGCGAGGTCTCGCGCGCTTCTCCATGAGCATCCGTTTCGAGAAATGAATAGAGCTTTTCGTTGAGATCAGCCGAGACGCCGACCGGAGGCTTAGGAGCGCGCATGAATCCATTCGGCAGAATTGCTCCAAAACGCATTCCGAATAAATGCGTTTGTTAAAAAATTTCGAACGCATTCGAAGAATTTTTGATTCCGGAATAAAAATGCGTTTGTTAAAAATACTTGATTTCGAATCATTCGATTAGTAACGCATTTTTTATTCCAGAATGAGTTTTGGGTAAGAAAAAGAGAAGCTACTTTTTGTAGCTTTCCTTTTCCAGAATGCATTCTCCATATTTTCTCTCTTTTTCGTGGCCTTTACAACACATTTTGAGATCTCATTAATTTTTTTTTTTCAGAAAATGCATAAAAATTGAAAATTCCAGAAAAATTCATAAAAATTTCCAGAAAATAAAAAAAAGTCAGATTTCGGGAAAATATGAAATTTGGTGAATTTTTTTCAAAAAATATAAAAAAATCAAAAATTTCAAAACTTCACAGAATGGCTTAGAATACCTTTGGGCACCCACTTTGAATGAAATTTAATTTTTTTGAGGTGCCTAAAAAAATCAAAAAATCAAAAATTTTAAAACTTCACAAAATGGCTTAAAATACCTTTGGGCACTCACTTTGAGTGAAATTTAATTTTTTTGAGGTGCCCAAAAAAATCAAAAAATAAAAAATTTCAAAACTTCACAAAATGACTTAAAATTTTTCTTTGAGTGAAATTTATTTTTTGAGGTGCCCAAAAATCAAAAAATAAAAATTTCAAAACTTCACAAAATGACTTAAAATACTTTTGGGCACCCACTTTGAGTGAAATTTATTTTTTTTGAGGTGCCCAAAAAAATCAAAAAATAAAAAATTTCAAAACTTCACAAAATGGCTTAGAATGCTTTTGGGCACCCAATTTGAGTGAAATTTATTTTTTTTGAGGTGCCCAAAAAAATAAAAAATAAAAAAAGATTTCTGTTCCAGAAATCAATTTCTGGAGCAGAATTAATCATGTTTTATCAAACAAATTTCTCCTTAAAAAATCAATTTTTGGCAAGAATTCCGGAAATCAATTTCTGGCAAGAATTTGATTTCTGGAGCAGAATGGTTACCATTCGCGCCCTTATGCGCCACGGATTTTTGCAAGGGTGCGCTCGAGCCATATTGACCTCAATAAGAAGGACTAGCCTCTTTTTCTCGAAAGAAAGAAAAGAGAAGCAAAGTCCTAAACATATCTGAATTGATAAAAATGCCGTGATGCAATCGATTCAAATTTATCGTTTCGGTTTCGGATTTTAGCTCAAATAATTTGTGATTAAAAAAAAACATAATCTCGGGAGAAAAGTCAGATGTATGTAATTACCATACGATGATGCCTGTATCCTCCAATATAACATAAGCAACTGAATTAAAAGTCACTAAGGATGCGTTTGTTTGAGGGAAAGTATTTTTCAAGAATTCGTTTTATGAATTTTCGCCCGTTTGGTTCGCCGAGAATGGTAAGTCAACTGAAAACACTTTCCGATCAACGAAAACATTCATGTATAAAATTATCAAAGTGAATTTCCTAATTTAACAAGGTGAAAACGCTTTCCAGAATTGCTAATCTTTAATTTGATAATATTTTTTTTCTTATCTTTTTTTATTCTAAGAAGGAAAAATTCATGTATTTTCTTTTCTTAATAAAAATAATTTAAAAATAACAAATAATTTGAAATAATTTAAAAATATATAAATTTTTTTTTGATAATTTTCACCATCAGATTTCCCTCGTCAAACAACTAGAAATACTTTCCAAGTCCTTTTTAGATTTTAGCCAAACACCGAAAAATGAACTCATTTTTTCTGCAAAATGATTTCCTGAAAATTATTTTCCAGAAATTCTTCATTTTCCGCAAAACAAACGTACCCTGAAAAGCCTAAAACCGACCACACTATTTACGAAGTTCAATTTTTCTGGAAAATTCCAGGAAAAAAACAGAAGCAAGGAAAAAGAAGTTATCGAAGTCAAGTCAACTATTCCTAGATTGAGTCAGCGAATCAACGGCTTGACGTGCCGCCTTAGAGAAAACGCGCACCGTACTACCGCAGCAGAGGATCACTCCCTCCCCCCCTCCCCCAACACACTTCCATCCTCGTTCGACCGAAGAGAGCGAAAAACCTAAATATATGGATATGATGTCTCCTCCTCTGTTCGTTGTTGTGGCTCCCCCTCTCTCTCTCTCTCTCTCTCTCTCTCCTGCGAAAAGCCGAGGAAGAAGCACAGCAGAGACACGAAGTAATCAACCCTAAAACCCAACCCCATCTCCCTCTCTCTCAGATCCCGTGAGCTCGTACCGACATCTCAGATCCCCAAATCGAGCTCCAATTCAGATCACCCACACACGAGCCATAACCTTGTTCTTCCCGATCACGCATTCGACCCGGGGGGGTGGGGCGGGGGCGGGGGGGGAAGAGTGTTTCTCGAGCGCCCCATGACGCGGCGGTGCTCCCATTGCAGCCACAATGGGCACAACTCCAGGACCTGCCCCAACCGCGGGGTCAAGCTGTTCGGGGTCAGGCTGACCGACGGGTCCATCCGGAAGAGCGCCAGCATGGGCAACCTCAGCCACTACGCCGGCTCCGGCTCCGGCTCCGGCGTCGGCCTTGGGGGCGGCGGCGGGGGCAACAACCCGGGCTCGCCCGGGGACGGCCCGGACCACGGCGACGGCTACGCGTCCGAGGATTTCGTTCCCGGGTCGTCCTCGAGCCGCGAGAGGAAGAAAGGTGATGGCTTTGGTTGTGATCGTCTGGTGTTTCATTTGATTGGTGGTTCTGTGCGATTGTTGTTGGGTCGTGGACAAAGTTTTAAGGCTCGGTGGAAAAAAGGGGTTTTGGGATTTTGCATGTTTTTGGGTTAGGATTAGGCGGTGATGTCTACGGTTTGCCCGATCGGCGGGAAGGCTGTTGGATTGATGATGACATGGATTTATTGCTTGATGCTGATGGAACCGTGAGGTGCAGAGTCCCGATTTTTGTTGATGATCGGGGTTTTTTAGTTGCCTCCATATGTTCCGGTTTCCCGTTCGGGGGATGGGTTGTCGTGTGCCGCTTCATCGGGGGGGGGGGGAGGTTCGGTCTTTGAAGTGATTGCCAAATCAATGCGGCACTTCGATTTAAAAATCGCAGTTGTTTTGATGCGTGCATTGGGAGAGGTTCCGTCGTTGATCTACTCGAGATAATCGTGCCGAGGGATCAGTTGGTCGATGAGTTTGTATGCATTGTGAAGTTCTGAAGAAGCCCTGTCCTCGAAATAAGGACGGGAAACTCGTCTCACATGCTCAAATGATATCTTGAGCTTTGTTTACCCAAATTGAGTTTGTCGTTGAGATGGCATTGCTGTTTGTATTGTATGATGGAGCAGTTTGTCTATCCAAGTTGTGATCAATCAGTACTATGCTGATATCTACGGTTTTCTCAGAAATTCCATAAGACTGAATTACTTGAGATGCCTGTGCCCATTCTCGGATTTCCAATGTCAAGTTCGTAAAATAAAATAAATTTCTCGTTCTGATAAGGTTTCTAAGTCCTAGATTAATGTGTTCAGGATACATGTTTTGCTATTGAGATTCGTTGAAAGTGATAATAATTTGTGATGCAGGTGTTCCTTGGACTGAAGAGGAGCACAGAATGTTTCTATTGGGTCTGCAAAAGCTCGGCAAAGGTGATTGGCGTGGGATTTCTCGCAACTACGTCATTTCTAGGACGCCGACACAAGTGGCGAGCCATGCTCAGAAGTACTTCATCAGGCAATCTAACGTGTCGAGGAGAAAACGACGCTCGAGCCTGTTTGATATTGTGGCAGAGGAAGTTAGTATTCTTGTATTCCATTATCTATATGGGAACCTATTTTTACATGCATATGTTCATCCCCAAGTCCGGTTTAAAACCTCAAAACGGACTGGTCATAAATTGAGTTTGGCTTTACTTTCCTTATTTGTGAATAATATGGAACCCAGATGCTACCCAAAATTTTTGTTTCTTCAAATTGCCATCTTCGTCACCTTTTTGACCTTTTTTTACCCATGCATTATTAGTGCATATACATGCTATTCATTTTCATTTACATTGCAGTCGGTTGATGTGCCAATGGGATCAAGGGACTTCTTCACGGTCAATGAACAACAGCCGGAAACAGAAGTAAATGATGCCTTGCAGCCACCTGTTGTTGACGAAGAATGTGAATCTATGGACTCCACCAACTCGAATAACGGAGACTCAGCCCCGCCAAAGCCGGATATTTCACAATCACAGTCGTCTTATCCAATGATATACCCAGCCTACTTTTCGCCGTTCTTCCCGCTTTCATTCCCCTTGTGGACAACTGGGTTCGGGGCGGACAACTCGACCAAGGAGATGCACGAGGTGCTCAAGCCCATGGCGGTTCACTCGAAGAGCCCGATAAACGTGGATGAACTTGTCGGCATGTCGAAGCTCAGTCTAGGAGACTCCATCGGCAACACTGGTCCCTCTTCTCTATCGCTGAAACTGCTCGAAGGATCTAGTAGCAGACAGTCGGCTTTCCATGCCAACCCGGCCTCCAGCACTTCAAGAATGAACTCGAGCATTGTGAGTTAATCAGAAAAAAGACAAGCGGGAAACCTTTGGCTCAAAGGCTGCGATCTGATCTATCAACCGAGTGCCGAGGTGAGCTTTGTGTTATTGTTAATAGAAGGGAAATAATGTGCAGTCTGGTCTGAGCAGTTCTAGTATAATTGCCTTTGTAGGATACCTTGAATAAGGTCGTCGTCATTCTATTTAGTGGCAGAGAACAGTTCCTAGATTGTAGGTTTTAGTAGCATCTGTAGGAAATTCATTTGGATCTCATAATTCAGTGTCTTTCTCAAAAGCTCTTTAATGTTTACTAAGGATAGGCCAGCATTCATGATTCTCCAGCAATTAATCAAAGCTTGGTGAGCAACTACATCTGAGAGTCACCCAGAAATAGCTGTCTCAAACCTCATATAGGTGAGTAATTATAAGTCCCTTGCCCGGCGTGGGATCACCCCACCCACCCCTTGCCTGATGCTGAGCAAGTGATTCTGCCCCAGGTGAGGGCGGGGTGAAGCGGGTCCAGAGTCCGTGCAAGACGAGAAAGTATCTGATGTGTTGATCGTCTGGCTGATGTGGTGTAATGAACTAATCAGCGAGTCCTCATACGCATCATGCATCTGAACCAATTTCGAGTTTCTGCTTTTTAAAAATGCTCTCTTCTTATTAGGAAAGAAAACCTTCTCGAACTACTTATTTGCATTTTACCGATCATTGTAGCTTCACGGAATGCGTTCTCAAACAGATCATGTGTCTCTGTCCCAGAAAAATGGAAAGAAGCTGTAATGCTCTTTTAAACTGAGACAGGCCCAATAGTTTGAGCTACGGTTGGCTCTCCTTGGGGCTCTTCCTCATTTACGCTCATATCTTCTACTCATCATGTTAATGATCCTCACGGACTACTTTCAAGTATTGCTTGTCACTAGATTGAATTGAACCATCCAGGTAAGCAATCTTCCCCAATGAACCCAGTCCCCACACCGCTATACCCGACCGAACGGTTGGGTCAGGCCCGGCTGGACCCTCAGTCAGCCCAATATCCACAAGAGGTGTGTCGGTTGTCGTGTTTTCGGCCAGTCGGGTTGGTTTTTCCGGCACAGGGCTCTTCGACTTTGAAGTGCTGCTCACGGTCATGTCATGGTCTATTTAAACTGTCGGGGTCAAATATGTCTCTGAGATGCTCGTAGATTGGTTGTGCTGCTCAAAACTAACTCGATGTGTTTTTAAGGCGATGCGGGAGCGAGTGAGCCGCGGGCTGAGTAACGATACCCGTGCTCACGGCAATCCAGAGTGGGGCTGCCTATAGCGGATACCCCTCCGACATCAAAGACCGTTGCACCAGCAGATGAGTCTGGTGCATGTCAAAGCTTTATGAGCACAATTGAGCCGCGGTAAGAGATGACAGAGAGTGGAACTGCCTCTGACATCGAATCGGCTATATGCGCACGCCCCCACGAACGCTCGTGTGCGCTGCAACCGAAAAACATGTTACTGTTGAATTCTCAGTACGTTTCAACAGCTTCAAACCAAAACCCCAAAAAAGGTGGATAAGGGTTGACATTGATCTCTCCGCAAGTTGCATGCAGCACAAGAGCCACCCAGACAAGCCCCCTGTTAATGATCATTGCGCACAAACCAAACTATATTGCATGCCAGTTTGCAAGATTTGACAAGTAATGGGGGGGAGAGACAGAGAGAGACACACTAGAAAAAGTCAGGAATAGATGGCAAACACATCAAATTGCGGATTGACAATGTACAATATGTGCCCACACCATTAACCTATGCTTGGATCTTCCTAAAAACAACATCACAAAGGCCTTCAAGATTCTCTCTATCCATGCAAACAAATTCCAATTTGGCAACGTGTTTGTACTCTAACCCAAGCCCATCAGTAAGTTGAGCCATCTTGTTCGGCAAAAACTTGGCGTTTTGCAAAAAGCAGAGGGAGATGGCTTTAATTATGAGCGGGTGTTTAATCATGTTGATACGACCAAAAGCTCCCTTCATTGACTGGTTTTACCGAGACAAACCTTGTTCTTATCATCGACCTGCGTGCGCACTGCGCTATGGACTTGATGGAGGACAGGTCATTCTAGAGGTCAGCTCTCTGAAATGGTCCTTGATCACGGATTCGTTGAACTTCTGGAGTAAAACATCATTGATGAAGATGCCGGGCCAGAAGAGAAAACAGGTTCTGTAGTTTAAATAAGCAAGCAAAGACAGTGCTGCTGTAGTTGAATTGGCTTGAGGACAAAAGATGAAGCCCCGGGAGTTTATTTAACCTATTGGAGAACTTAGCCGTCAACAAAAATCTCATCAACAGCAGTTGGGGAGTGCATAGTTAATTAGATGAGAAATTTTGTAGCAAGAAATTGTTAAACATGTGATGACTTGCTTTTTCTTACGTAATGGAAACAAACATTAGGTGGTTTTGATTGATGTTTAGGTGAGCATTGAGAATGTTCGGAAAGAGATTCCAAGTTCCGCCCAACAATTGATTATTCCTAATGAAAATTAAGACGGCGGAGTGGTTATGAATTAAACCGTGTAGGGCATAACTTGGTTCGGCTGCTAACTGGGTCATGCGCCGCCTCTTTACTTTGTAAGTAAAGTGAAGACGAAAGAGGACAAATGTTTGAGTAAAAATCAAATTATGTATAACTATATATTATAATAGGATTATAAAACACACACACACACATATGTGGTAATTAACTAGTCTTAGACCATTTTTACACACCCTCCGGACCTACTATAGTCTTAAAAAAAATTAACCTTTAATGCATGACTAGACTGATCTTTAGAGCTTTTTCTTTGGAAAAAGGGAATTCAACGAGAATTTCTTTTTTATTGCTACCGTAGAGGATGGGGAGGGGCGATCAACTTGGCTACTCTGTTTAAACGATATCATGAAGGGCGTACACCCGCTATAGATTTAATTAGAACCGCGTAAAGATCATACTTAGCATCACTTACGACCTATGTATGAGCTCCGTCACCACCTCCCCACCGAGATCCTAGAGGATTAGAACTCATTCATTGAAGCAAAACACTTGCATGGCTACGGTAAGCCGGTTCGAAGCTGTGATCTTGTGTTGAGGAATATTGAGCAACTTTCACGAATCGGAGAATACGATAAACCACCTCCATGTGAGACTCCTTACGATCGTGTACCATTAGGCCATTCCCACCACTAATATACAGCTACAATCAATATCAATTTGGAGTGACAATTTCTCTCTTGATTTCCCCCAAAACGAGATAATTGGATAGTGTTTGAGATTCTTCTGTGAGTAAAATGAAATATCTAGACAAGCTTCAAACTTTGCAAGATTTCACGACAATTAGTGCGCGCCGCCTTCCCTCTTCTCCCTAGAGTTTTCTCCTCTCCCTCTCATCTTCACACAATTTTCTTCTTTAATCACCATAGAGGAGAGGGTTTGAGCTAGATCTCTTCCTCCTTTCTTTTTCCTTTTTCTTTGGCTGATTTGGTTCTATATTCTCTTTTTTTTTTGTTTTTCTCTCCTTTAGAGGAGTTTTTCTCTTATGATCTAGTTTAGATTCATGAGCTTTTCTCTCGTTTTGGGCAGGTTTCTATCCCGATTTAATCTAGATTTTGGGATTTTTTCATGTATGATCTCGAGGTTTCGCTTTCCTCGAGTTCCGTTGGTGTGCAAGTAAAGTTTCAAAGAAGATCATAGGAGCTTTGTGAACGTTTCACTCTCATGATTGTCAGATCTGTACTAATTCAACCTTATTACTCTACACGGCATGATTTTGGGGATGCAGAAAGGCAAAGCCGTCACAAATTTGCTTTTTGAGCAGGTTATCCCTAATCTTGTTTTGATGATTCATCTTGTTATCAGGAATTTGTTTTGTTTTGAAGTTGTCTGGGATTTATCTTGATTTGCTGTTGAACTATATTATTTTTCTCTTGTATTTTCGTGAAAATGAATGAAATGTTATTTTGACCAAAAAAAAAAATCCCCCGACAATCGCCAGCCACCATTTTGAAACGGTGGAAATTTCCAAGGAGCATCTTGGTACTAAGAGAGGTACAACTACTGTTCCAGTTACAAGACAAAAGCAAACCCATGGGAGGGTGGCATGCTAACAACCACAAGCTATCTTCCCCTCTCATGCAACATTATTGGCTTCTGATACTGTCAAATAATTGTTCCCAAGGTCCTGCATGTGTCCAATTGAGCTACCTGCTGAGGATAATGTGAATAATCACAGTGCAAAATAACAGTTGATTGGGAAAGGTTGATGTTTGCATCTTGATGTATATGCTGTAAAAATCAATCTTATTCAAGAGGGACAAGAAAAGATCAACTTCCCAGCTAAAATGTAGCTCATCGATAAGACACTTACTCGGAAAATACAGATGCAGACAGAAGAAGAAGAAGAAGAAGAAGAAGAAGAAGAAGAAGGAGGAGGAGGAGAAGGAGTGGGTGACTCTGTTTCTGCTATCACTTTCCCAGTGCACAAAACAGGGGCTAAATTTTCATTCTCTTTTTCTTTTTTACAAAGAAAAGCTGTAGCAGTCGTGGTACTGGTAAGGGGGGGTGGGGCGGCGAGTCTTGAGCAGGAAGGAAAGAGACCACATGTCGAAACCTTGGACTGTTACTGTGCTCACACTGCTTATCCCCACAAACACGGTCGCGCAGTCCCATGATTCCCCGTGCTGTATTCTGCATGCTGGTCCCTCTTGGGCAGGTTCTATGATCTTTCTGCCGGCTCAAGAGTTAAAATTGGAGTTTTCTTCCATACTCCGTTAGTCCACAATGGCTACCGTCTCGTTGTGTTGAGAACCATGGTCAAAAAAACGTTACGCGATGTAATGATTCTTTACAGTGAAGCAGACGATCGTAAATCTATGAGTTTGGTAAGACACGTGATGTGGTTTTAACAAAGACTAGAAGTCTCGCGCACTGCAGAAATAGTCCTAAATAGGTTAATACATCAGCACGGACGGTGATATTTTCGCCCCGCCATGTCCATACAAGAGAAGAGACCTATCTAGGTTAATACATAAAGAGTAGAAGTCTCGCGTACTACAGAAGTAGTCCTAAATAATATTAACAAAGACTAGAAATCTCGCGTACTACAGAAATAGTCCTAAACAGGTTGATACATTGGCGCGGAATATGATATATTCGCCCCCGCCATTGCCGTGTCCATACAAGAGAAGAGACCAATGCTGTGCCATGGCTAATAGCCGTCGTCAAACAGGATGCTCTGCTGGACCCCAAGTGTTTTTTTCTATCGAGGGTGGAGATCGAGGGTGGTGGTTGGTCCAACGTTCTTTAAGCAGCAGCAAGACTGGTAAAATTGGCAAAATTCCTAATTTAATAAGACCTGAGAAAATGGGGTCAAAATTTTTATAAAATGCCCTATGGTCGATCAGATAAGGCTCCATAATGGGACATGAGGAGAGGCCAGGAAGCCAGGGAACTGGACAAGATGACGCCAAAACAAGAAACAGGAGAACGGAAGGGAAAATGCCCTCCTCTCTCTAACATCATCCGAAGATCAGCCCGTGTAAAGACCAGAAGCTATGATCCCATTTGGCCATGGGCCCCCCCTCGCCCCTCCCTGCTTCCTCTTCTCATTCTTTTATTAAGCTTTGGCCTTCGATTCCAAGTCCACGTTCAACTCCACTCTCTCCCTCTCCCTGTCCCTCACAAGTAACAACAACAAAGTAATGGAGCCACCCATCAACAGTAAATGCATTGAGGCTCAAACGGGCACTTCCTACTCCACAGACACTCCCTCACGATCAGGCTCATGCTCGGAGAAAGTCGGAGCGCCAGAGTGTGGTTCTAGTGACTCCAAGAAGCAAAAGGGTCGGTCCCGGAATGGCCCGAGCTCGGACGGCGGCCCGAATTACCGCGGGGTACGGCAGCGCCAATGGGGCCGGTGGGTGTCTGAGATCCGGGAGCCGAGGAAGAAGTCGAGGATCTGGCTGGGGACGTTCCAGACGGCGGAGATGGCGGCCCGGGCCCACGACGTGGCCGCGCTCACTGTCAAGGGCCGGTCGGCCCACCTCAACTTCCCTGAGCTGGCCGAGCTGCTCCCCCGGCCCGCGAGCAAGTCGGCCAAGGACATCCAGGCGGCCGCGGCCCTGGCCGCCACGATCAGCTTCCCGGGCAGCGATGGAGCCGCGGGGGAGGCCAGGCTGAGCCGGCCGCAATCCCCGGACGCCACGGTGGAGTCATTCGACACCCAGGAGTCGGCGAATTCGCCGTTGGACGACACCTTCATCAACCTGCCGGATCTTTTGGTGGACTTCAGCAACAGAATGGATGAGCTCTGCATGTCATTCACATGGCAAGAGGAAGATGGCACAAGGTTTAGCCCCGGAGACGACCCTTTTCTCTGGAATTAGCCATCATTACCAGCTCAATCGGGCCTCGTTGGGATTGAGTCCAGCTTATAATTGAGACACACAAGCACCTCAATTAGCTGCCAACAGAAAATGAATGATTGGGTACATGCGAGTTGCAGTAGAATTGAGTGATGATGATAGGAACAGAACAGCCCTTTTTTTTTTCTGTCATCTTGAGCTGTTGTTTCAAAAGGTAGTTTATTTTGGATCTTTCTTGTTTCTTTTTGGGCATGAGAGTGTATATAAGTTCGTCATTCCTTGTACATGTTTCTGGAAAATGCATCATCTTCTGCTGATCCTGATCTTCCTCACGCAGCTTAAGAAAGCCAATTGCCCTGCTGCTACTGTCACTTTCTTCTGTTGGACCTTCTTTAAGCTTTCCTAAGTGAAAAGGGATCACAAGAAATTGACCCAGAAAAATATTATCATAAACGATGAAAAGAAATCTGCTTGTCATCTTATAAAAAGCACCATCTTTACTAAGTAAGTTTCCATTTACTTGGCGAAAGTGAAATGAAATACTTATCTGCTTCACTTTTGAAGGTTTGTTGACATGATGAAAATTCATAGAGATGTGATAACCAACTATAAACGTGTAAAAGGCCACATGCACATATAGATGAAGTCACAATTTTAGAAACTCTCCAAGTCTAAAGGCTCTCTCGCATTTATGGATAGCTACAAGTACAAGTTGCCTTCAACAAAATCTTACTTTACAAAATTCGATTGACTGACTCGTCACGTCATGTCGCGATTGGCTCGCATTAGTCTCGAATAATAAGATAAACATTCGACACCGAATATAACGGCCTGAAAACATTTTTGGCCAAGACAATCGCCGTTAACATCCGATTGTCCTTTATTTGTTTTTTTTGCCCCCCCGACACGCGCTGGTTTGGGCCGTGTTTAATCTCACCACAATCCCAACAAAAAACTCGACAACATGCTCGAACATCTCACTTCTAAAATCGAAGGAGGGTCTTTGCTCCCTCTCGCTTTGATTCTCGGTCTCGATCTAAAACCTAGTAACGAACCGAAAACCACGTCCTTAGACAAACCGTATTACCATATAAAATATGCACTTTTAGGTCACAAAACAACAGCTCAAGAGTTGGCATCAAGCCAATAAATCCGCCAACAAATTTAAGCTTATCTTCAATGACAACAAACCGGTTGCAGTTAAACCTAACCTCAGCACGCCAAGAGTTTCCAAAATGCTTATGTCTTAACTTCATTTCATTTATTTTCTTATTGAAATTTAGAAAAAGTGGAATGCACAGCATTACATTCCAATTAGTAGGTGAAGATTCTTCCTTTCGCACGCATTATTCTAACGAGCGTGAGACGGCCAACCATGGCCCAAAGAACACGTAGCACAACAAAACAATGGGTTGACAGTAGGCGTATTTCCACATGGAAACCTCGAATTTTGCGTCCATAGAATCACCCTGTCTACTCCACCCCAACCTTCGTGGAGGCCTGTCCTGATGTCAACGTCGACGCACCATCTCAACCGAGTGAAGAAATCAAAGAAAAGAGAGAGAGAGTCCAAACGACCCACCGGCCGTAAATTCATCTGGTAAACGAATGTGCAAACTGCTCCTCACGTTCTTGGGATTTGGATATGTTGGGTATAATTTCATTTTCGGCTTTCGATTTCGCGGGGCAAAGCGAGGAAGGCACCATAGAACGCGACGATTCCAAATTCAGGATGTGCGGAGAGACAGAAAATAAGTGCGCGCCAATGACTTGCCATCATCGCTCGAAAACGAAAGCTATTCGGACATTAAAGAAGCTGTGCATGAGAAGGCCCATGTAGGACCGACCTAAAATTCCCATTTATAGCATGTGAGACTAACTGGCAATTTCTTCTGTCTTCTTCAATTGTCACTGTGGTTCCTGTCAAACGGACAAAGTGTCCTTCTCTCCTTTTGAAGCAGACATTGATGCAGCATGGTCCCTCGTGGTCCTTTCCATTCATGCCCAACTCATTCCACACGTCACTTAGCTTTTCATAATAGTCTGATTCCACGCTGAACAAGGGTCAGAACTAATTGGTGGATTTTGTTCAGGAAAATTACACCATGGTCTTTAGGTAACCATACTGATTTTTTTTTTTTTGGGTCAAATGTAACCATACTGATTAGGGAGGTGTATTTTCGCGGGATATCGTAGATTCAGTGATCATTATGAATATCCTCGATTTGACGTGTCCAACGCCCGACGTGAAAGAACTTAAGTAAAACTATGTCGTTTTGCGCACTTTTTCGAATTTTTTCCTTTTTTCTTTTTTTTTTCTTTTTCTTTCCCTTTTTCTTTTGTGTTATAGTTCATGTTCCTCGGCATCCATCTGGCAACCGCCTGTTTTCCCTTCTACCCGGGTCTAAGACGGCCCTTCGACACTTGCAACGGCCAACTAAGGCCGCTGCTGACCCGTCTAGACCTCGGATTAGCCAAGGTCAACCGCTCATTCTCCCTTCTTCCCCTCCTTCCCCCTGCAACACTCAGGCAAAGGGTCGACGACGACCCTCGATGCTTGTGCCGACCAGCTAAGGTCGCCGCCAACCCATATGGACGTCAATCCCTCGAGCCAAGTCCTAGACCTAACCTGTCCTTGTTACCGTTCTCTCGTCCAATTGGTGTGAGACAATAGGGAGAGATCGATGGTCCACTTTTGGTGTATGAGTGAGTTGCGGACATGGCTTCGACGGCCGGAGAAGCGGAACAATAACCACGAAAGGAAAAAAAAAAAATAGGAAAGAAAAGAAAAGGAAATAGAGAAAAAGGCTAAGAAAATTCAGAAAAGTATGCAAAACGACATCATTTCACTTAAGTTCTTCCATCTGAAATGCCGACCGGCGATAATTGGACCGCAACTTCAGCATTTTCAGGCGAAAATTGGCCAAAACGATTACATTAGAATTTCACGCAAAGGTATATAAATGAATTAGCATCCATACAAGGTTTATGACTGATTCGGTAAATTTTTCCCAAGTTCCAGTATCACAGATTACCAGTATTTGTGAGAGGAAGCGAGAAAAGAATTAACAATATCTTACTCACTAAAGGAACCAAAAGAAGTGAGAATCCAAAGTGGAAATATTAAGTAGCCCCAAAGCCGTATTTGGGTGTTGCAAAGTGCTATAAATAAATAATAATTCTAGGGAAAAGAAGAGTTATATACATAGATTGAGCAAATTGATGAGAGAGATCTGGTTCGTGTAAATATAAAAACACTTGCCGACTCTATCCTCAATAATTAAGCAAAAACATGTAACACCAAATTTCGAAATTGAGATTGTAAAGAGAAATGACGTGTTAACCCTGTCTATTCAACAAGTATCAAAACTTTAGGGACGAAATGCATGGCCAGCGACGAACCACTTTAGGTGGGATAAAATGCAGTTGGGGGACTCTTTTCAAGCTTTTCCATTATGCAATTCGTTGATTAGACCATCAAATTTGTCATTCGGAAAAGTATAAAGACAAAAGAGGGGGGCAATAAAATAGAATAGAAATTGATGGACCACAGAGGTAATGATGACGTGAGGCAGCGTTGCTCTCGAGCTTGAGCTTTGACAGCGACGAGCGGGCAAAGGGAAGAAGGGAATCCGAGGAGCTGGGCCTTCCCCTCTCTTTCGTGGCCAACTTCATTTGCTGACCGTCCAAGAGGAATTTACAGAGATTCTTTCTAATCTCATGAGTGATTAGCCATTACCATCCATCTCCATGCTGGTTAATCATTCTTCTTCGAATCGATTCGAGCTACAGCTCGAGTACGGTTTATTAAGATGCACGTGTAAGTTGTATTAAAGAAGTCTAGCATTGAAAAATTGGTGTCGTGTGGAGCAGTTAATATATTTTAGCTGGCCCATAAACTCATTAGCTTAAACATTTAAATGAATGGAGGTTCAATTGGATATGTTGATGGATTTGGATTTGGGCTCCCTTTTGGCGATCACCCGTGGTGAATGGTATCGGGTTTCCGCTATGTGCTTACAACAAATGGTGTCCGAGTCAATGATTGATTAGTAACCTACTCCCAATGTATCGTTATTTGGTAAATATCTCAAGGAAGGGTATAGCAATGCAGGTCTGATAGCTTTAGTCGAGAAAAAGACTAGGGATGGAGTTGGGCTCACACTTGAAGAGGAGATTGTTAGGATGTACCTAGTCGGTTCCTAACTTATTGGCTTAACATTTCAAGTGAAGGTGAGTCCAACTAGATATATTGACGGGTTCGGACTTACGCTTTTTCTTGGCGATCTCCCTTGGGGTAGATAGCATTCGGGTTTCTGCTGTGTGCTCACCACATGATCGTGGTCGGAGCTTAAAGAAAAGTCATCGTCCTTTCGAGGCGCGAACTATCTATCCCGATACGTCGCTTTTGAAATCTGCACTTACTCAATGATAGCTCGGCTTGACCATGAGAGGCAGGGCGGCCCCGATGGATCTCGACTTGTTCTGGCGTTACCTTCGCACAACCTCGAACGCTTGCTTCATGTGGATGGAACGAGGCGAGCGAGAGAACAGCAAGGGTCGACAGTCCCGGAAAGAAAGCTCGAATCGACAGGACGATGTGTCTCGTTGCGAAGGAGCAAGTGCGCCTGGAAACGGTGAACAGTCGAGGAGCGGATGGATATTTTGAGGGAGCATAATGGTACGAGCCTTTGAAAACGAGGCTCCTTCCTTTAGTCCCATCCAACATCGTGGTGCGAGTGATATTTGTCCTCCACTACCGTAATTATAAAGGCCAATGGATGATTTGCCGAAAAGATTAAACCCAAGAAATAAAAGAGGAATCTCTTATAAAAGGGCCGGGTCAAAGGATCGTATTTTCTATATGATATGACCTCTTGAATGAAATTCCCGATAAAAATGATTCGTTATGAATCTTCGCATCTCGATGTCGAATAACATGACAGAAACATAAAATTCAATTCCGTCATGCCGACGGGAACACGATATATTCGTTTTAATTGGTTCGATGTGATGTGTTCGTACTTGAATCTCGGTTTCTTAAATTCGGAATAATTTTGGGGGTCATGTGCATGACTTTATATGTAGAACATTACCTCAACCTTATGTGATTAAGCGAGGTGAAGATATAATAATTTTGGTTTTTTCTTTTTCGGGCTTTTACCAATAAAAAATAATAAAAAATAAAAACAGTAAAAATCGTTCTTAATCACACGCCCTAGAGGATTGGAACATCTCAACCGATGGGGGGGCGGCGGATGACCGATTGCTGACCCTGGCGAGCCATCATCTTCCCAATGCCCACGTGTCGCTTTCCCATTGCCATCACGTGGCGATTCCTGCATCGTGTACCCCCCCCC